TCACAGAAAAGCAAACTTAGGGCGTCGTACTCGTAGCGCCATCTGTTGGACATAAAAACCTTAACCTAGATTATATATTTTAATTTAATTTATATGAATGTTTAACGGAATAAAATACAGCCTATGTCCACCCCGAGGTTCCATTCTAAATATTAGTGAAAGAATTTTTTAAATCGGATGAGTAGTTTCGGAGATTACCTGTTGCAAACAAACTTACATACATACATACATACTTACAAACATTACCTCTTTGTAATATTAGTATAGACAAAGCAAATCTGTGATAGTCTAGGGCCTAGACTCTAGGCCCTCTAGGGTCCATTCTTATTCGTTTGTTCTGTGAAGCAGATCATCTTCTATTTATCTATATAAATAAAAATATAATGTTCGTTTGTTCCTACTGATTCCTTTGAAATTTTGACACAACGCTGCATTCGAATACGCACGTGTTTTTATATAATATACGTGTCGAAATTTCCCCCACTGGGGAGAGATGGACAGGATTAAGGCTTACCGTGAAGAACTTAGCTTCTATTATACTATTTTAGATGCGATTTTTTTGCGTTTTAATAGGGTACGTCAACAGAATATACACTAAAAAGGGATTTTTCGAAAAATTGCCCTCCACGGGGCAAGTGTTATACATTTATAATAGATACATTTTGAGCCACAACAACGCGTAGCGGGGTAATGCTAGTTATAAATAAAATAATAAAAACTTACTTGGTGAAATAAAATGTGTGGTGGATATACAGGTACAGTACATACATACCTGATACTGTACAAAATATTCAATTGTATGAATATACTTTTAAAGAAAATTATAATTAAATATAGTTTTGTGAAGAAACATATTGTACATAAAAATAACATAAAATATTCTTTACTTTTTAAATATTAAAACAATCCACTTAGTTAAATTTGCTCCCTACGAGTGACTCATGGAAGGAATCAGAGACGATCTTGGTAGGTATGCAGTGCGTGCATGCATGCCAAATTCAGAGGGTGTCGATACAGGTTAATGCAGTGTTTTCCAACGTGGGGCCCACGTCCCACAGAGGGGCAATTGGATTGTTAAGGGGAAAATTGGACTTGTCCAATTGTCCCCTTAACAATCGTAATATCACTAGTTTAACATTGAAATCTGTAAGTAATACAAGATGGGAGAGTGGAATAAAAGCAGAATAAATATATCAAATATTTTAATAATGGATTTTTTAAAACTCCTGTCAACTATACAGAACTATCATAAAAACATACCAGTAAATTCCTATCGGTTGGGTTAAGTTATAAATCTACTCGTGATTCACATAATGGGGCGAGGGCGGCCAAATATCTAGCATGCAGGAGGCTAACAGCCAGGAACCGGCCATGGATAGAATCATTGGAAGCGTTATACGATATTTTGGTGCGTAGCTTCCACCAACTACGTAAACCGAGTGAGGTTGGTGCTCTGTAAAGTGCATGGGGCGAATGGAAGTTGTCCCGTATTCGACAATACAACGCTTCCATTTCGCCACTGTATTCAATACTAAAATTATTCAGTAAAATAATTATTTATTAATTTAAACAATAATTAAAGAATTAATTGGTTTGGTTTGATGGACGATTTTACTATTAATATCCTATTAAATTAATACAAGTTATAATTGGAATAATTTGCTTTCAGTTTGATGGAAGATCTCACAGGAAGACTTATAAGTTTAAGCTTTTTATCAAAGAGTAAAATTTATTCCAGTGTATGATATTAAACAAATGTAATTTGAAGAAATAGTAAATTAAATAATAAAATAAATAAAACATTTTTTATTATATAACAATAATTGAGATTGATAGACAAGAAGAGTGCAATTACCGTTGTTTCCCATGCTTATCACGAGTGAATGATTTGCAGAGGGTCATCATCCCTTCTGTTACAAAGATTAGATAAAAAGTTATTCATACCGAAACATGTTTATATTTTTTTTCATTTTGATTAAGTTTGAATTGATTTCTCCCGAGTTACAGATTACTTATTGATAAATTTTTATCATTTCTTTTAGTATTTTTAACATTTCATTTTTCTTTTTTTTATATTTCCTGTAATGTAACACATCAGTTTATATTTGAAACGTTTTTTTCATACTTAATTAAAATGGAATAAATTTATCTATAAAAGAAAAATGAATTGGATTGGTTAATGAAATAAGGCAATATAACCAGGCCCTTCGAATGCTTATATAGGGCCTGGGATAGAGCTTTATTCGTCTTTAAAACGTAAATGACCTAAAGCTACTATTACAAGTGACTACTTAATGACGAATGCTTATCTTTCCTCGAGATTATTTTCTTAAAAATCATTTAATTAAAAAGAATTACACAGCAAAATTTTTGAAATTGTAGGAATTTACTATTTCCTTTAGGCGATAGACAATTCCTTTATAATTAAAATTATAAGAGCTTAAAATATTTAATTTTTAGAAAATAAATTNAAAATAACAAATTAAACTAAAAAATAAATTTGTTAGCATCTACATTCAAACTAAAAGTATTTAAGTAAAACCAAGACATTTAAGATATGTTTGAAAAGTAAGTCAGTAAATTTATAAAATTGTACACTTCTTATATACCACCTCTTTAATACACACTTATTTTTAATAAATTTTTTATCAAAATGTTATATTATATAAGTCAGTGGTGTGTTATCCTATGGACAAAAAGGCCAATTGGTTTGCGCCCTCCAATCTTTCATAAGAAAATATTTTCCCAACAAAGTATTCAAAGTCAACACTATACATGGAGCCCCATAATTCAAATTGGCCTAGGCCCTATAACTATAACGTTCCACTAATATAAGTAATGATATAGCCTAATTCATAGCCCATAAGTTATACATATTTTAGATGACAGTTCTAGGAAAGTATATAATTCTGTAATGTAATAATATAAATAACTTTTATTTTCAAAAATGTTATATCTTTTTAAAGTATAACAAAAATAATTATATAGGCCTATATATTTTTATTATATATAATATAATGTCATCATTAACTTCCTGGCATATAAAGTATATTGTAAAATATTTGCGTTGCGAAGAAAAATAGTATCCATAGAATAATCTTATATAAATAAATATTAAGATAAGATCACATAGATACTTAAATATTAAAGATGAATAAATTTCAATTTATTTGAATAAAGGAGTTTGCAAAAAATATTTCTATCATCATCAAATAACTAATTATTTAATGTAGTACTAACGACCATGGGTCATCCCAAATTCAGGGAAAATTTGAGCAAAATAAGAATAACAATTTGTCCAGTCAGAGAAAATAAAAAGGTTAATGAATTATCAGTGGTGGAAAATTAAAATCTGATACTTATATTTGTAAAAAATTTTGGGAAAGTCAATTTTCTTTGCCCCCATGGCCCACTAGAGTGACTAAAACCACTAAACACTTGCTTGTCGCGGGTTCATATCTCACTAACGGGTTGGCCATGTAATATTCCGATTTCGTGTCTAACACCCCCAAATAGGGAAGTGTTTCTCATAGAAAGTCCTACTGGAAAGATCCTCCTTGATAGATCGTTGCCTTATCCCATCACTCCATCCGTCTTCTTGAAGTTATTGAGGCAGCCTATTTCTTTCAAACATCACTACATTCTAAAACACTTCCAAAACCAATAAGTAGGTTCCAATACAATGTTTGTCATATTAATCAGGTTTGTGACTGTTTTTCCGATCACACTGAACAAACTAACAACTGACAGTATACACATAACAGTCTCTCTGCCTCATACATTGACATGTAGTAACATGAAGTCTGCTTGGACCTTGTTTATTAATTGGGCTTACTATACTGGTGTAGTTTCTGATTAGCAAAGAGAGATCTTAGTCAAAAGTCAAAACAAAATATCTTTATTTTCATCTGTATACTATACCAGTATAAGTCCTATTAATAAATAAGCTCCAAGTAGACATATACACAGAAATTTAAAACAGTAAGGACAGAGATAAAAAGAATTAATAGTTAATTTTGAAGGTAACATGGAGATTTCATGTGCACTACCCTGTGAAGTGTTGGACTGGCAAGTGACAGATTATAGAAAAATTATTACAATAGAGTATAATTATTAAAATTAGAATTTTTTAAAAATATAATTATTCTAATTATAAACTATTCATTGTTAATTTCATATTTATTAAAAATATAAACATGAAAAAATTAAAATTTATTTATTTACAGTTCTAGTCAATCATAACATTAAGTATGACTATTTAACAATGCTGTATATTTAACCATGAATAACTCTTTTTCCTCCTCTAATTCTAGTGTTCTCATAGCTCTCCAATAAATGTTTCCAACTTCTGTTGGCATTCCTTTCTTATGAGTCAATTCAAGTTCAGCATAATCCAACCAGAGATCTAAAAAATAATTTTAAAATAAATTATTTTTGTCATATTCCTCTTGAACAATTTTTTAAATAAATATTCGTGTAAATTTTTACAAATCAAATTTTTGTAAAAAAAAAAAAATCTATTCAAGATATACAGAATGCATTAAAAATGATGCAGCTGTTACAAAATTAAAATTTACAAGAAAAAGAAAAAAAATGTATATTTTCACACTAAATATTCTTGATAAATAAAATAAATATTCTATTTTGTTTTATATTACTAAATTATTCATTTTATGAAGTAAATAAAACATTTTATCAATGCAATTTTATATTTTCTATTAATATAGTATTTTTTAAATTACTGAAAAATAATTACTCAATTATTAAATGTGTAGTGTACATTCATTTTACATTTGGATAATATTTAATATTTTTATACCAAATGATCCTAAATTATTGTTGAGATTTCTATGTCTGAATATTTTCCATCCAGAAACAACAAAATAAAACTGCTTACAGAACATGAGTGTAACTCAAATTTTATTACATGTATAATCAATTATCCTCTCCCTTTTTTAAAATCAATACATTCATAGATTCTAATCTAGAATCTGTTTTTACTTAAAAATAGGTGGATCCTTACCCACTGATGATGAACCAAACTCAAGAAGACCATCTTCATAAATATTTCTCAACCTCTTTATTATAGGATTCTTCTGAAAATAATAGAGAATATTCAGTATTTGTAAGTTTACTAAATGTTAAATAATTTTATTTTAATATTTCTATTATAGCTTAAATTTATTGTACAGTAGATTCCCCTATAACATGGTAGATATATTCCATTTTATATGAATTCCATGTTTTACGAGTCACTTAAATACATGAGCCAATCACAACCCAGCACGTGTGCAGTTTAGGGACTATGGCTGTTTGAAACGTTTTCTTCCATAAAATTAATCGGTTCTAGACTATTTTGACTCAACATTTCCAAAACACGTATAATTTTTTGGGAATAATCCATATAAACTATGCTATAAACAAAAAATTGTAGGATTACTTATTGAGTGTGCACCATTTGACGATGCCATTGCTTAAGCTTGTTTTCGTTGCGGAGCGGCGCATCAAATGGCGGGCACATGTTTTCTGATAAGTTATTTTTCTGTGAAAAATTTGCTGAACTTTGGAGACATCATTAATATAAATATAATTTTTATGGCTGTTGAATAATAAATGTTTTTTAGTAGGTCCAGTGCTCGTTTAAACTCAACAGTTTGTGCAATATTTGCTATTGGTCTAGATTCGACCAATCCTGTCGCGATACGAGTCGGCGATGACATTTTACCGTATTATATGAGTCTCTTTTAGCGTGTTTATACGAACATGATCGCAATTTTTTTGCTGTGTTATACAAATCTGTATTATATGAACCATGTTATAGGGCTGTCTACTGTACTTATAATTGCATAAAATTTTTAAATTAAATCACTTTTATACATTGCATGGAATGCCATTTGATATCAATACTACATACAAGGAGAATTTGGGAAACCTTCCCCTTTCGAGAAGAATAAAAAAACAGAAAAAAAATTTACATTTATTTTCTACCCATTAAGTTCCTCCTTTACCTACTTGCACTGTGTTACTCTATATACCTATATTGTAAAAATTAATAAACTACATTGTGAAAAATTAACGTTTTTTTTAAATCCCACTCTTTTAAAAAATCTGTGCATGGGCCTCTTTGATATAATGCACTAGTTAAAATTTAAAAATGAAATTATTGATAAATGGAATCAATGATTTATATATAATAGTTTCATTTATCAATTTATGACAAAAATATGATAAATAATAAATTTTGAAATGTAAAATATTTTTTCTTGAAATTAAGTTTCAAATGATTGTCATTGAACTAGAGTTTTCCTGCATTAAAAGAATAAAACATTTTACCTTAATTATGATCATAAAAGATTGAAAATAAAAATTTATTACATCCAAAACAATTATATTTATTATTGAAAATAAATGAAACATATTTATTAACATTTCTAACATAAAATGTTAGAATATTAACATGAAAAAATCTAATAAAGACTTGTTTTACAAATTTTTAAGATTATAAATGTGTATTCTTCCTCATATTAAAGATTAAAATATTCAAACAAATTATCATTTTCACCATTTCGTCTTCATATTTATATTAATATTCATGTGTTTATTTTTATAAAAATATTGATATTTAAATACAGAATAATTAAGTGAATCTTTTAAAAGGATATACTTTATAATAATGTGTTTTGCATAGATTCGCGAATTCTTTTAATAAAATATTTCAAATTGTTTTGACAAGAGTTTAAAATATTTTGTTTACAAAGTTTTAAAAATATATTATCATCAAAATGTATTTTTTGATTAATTTTTAAATTACAAGTAAATTAATCACTTTATAAAAACTTATTGTAAGATTATCATAAAACAGAATTAAATATTGTTGAAAATTCTATGTTAAATTATTGCAGTTTTAATTGAATAATTGAAACTGTTATTAATTGTTACAAGTTATTAATTGAATAATTGGTTATTCAGAAAATTTAGTGCTGCTATACTTTCAACTGTACATTTAAGTATAAATATATATATAATTGAAGTGAAGAAATCATAAAACAAATTCAGAGTAAAAAATAAGTAAAATTGCTGCTAAATTTCTTGGCAAATAAATAGATTTATTAAACCAAAACATATTCATCTTCTTTAGTTAGTTCATCTTCAGTAAACAAAATTGAAATGTTTAATTTCAGATATTTTATTCCAACATTTAAAATAACATGACACAAATTAAAAATTTAAAGTAACATTTGATGTTTTTAAAATTTATGCTATTTGATTGCTGTTAAGGAATTCAGAAGTAATTTATTTATTTTTTGTCAAACATATATTATGTTTTATAAACTTTCGTGATTTATTGAGAAACTTATAAATAAAATCACTTACCAGACAATTTTCTATTTCAATCATTTTTTGAAAGAATTCAACTGAAAGGGGCTTCAAATTCCTGAGCCTAAATATAAAGCCATGTATATTTATAAATGAAAGTTTATATTTGTGTATAAAGTATATTTTAATATAAATATTATAGTTTATATTTTTATTAAAAATTTAAATAAATAAATAATTTTTGGCAAATTAATTTAATTACACACTATCATTAATAATACATTAAATTTTTATTTATTCTTTTATTATTATTAAATTTACCTTTTATATAATTTTCTGCAACTTTTTATATCTTCAGTTTTTGAAATAAAATGTAGATATAAACATTTCAAAGGAATACTTATTACTTCACCCATAATAATTCCATGCTAAATTAAATAAATACATAACAATAATTTTAAAATATAAATTGTTTTTATATGATCAATCTTATATTTACCTCAAAAACATCTTTCAGTTTGGAAGTATTAGAAGAAGAAAGCCATTCAATTGCCAAAAACCAAAGAGGTAAGGATTCCTTTAAAAAGAAAAATTAAATTCTTACACAAAAATCAAAAATAATTTGTTTGAATTACAAAATAAATAAAAATTTATAAAATATTAATAGATAAATATTAACTAACTGACAAACCTTTTCTGGAACATTAGAAATTGATTCATTGAAAATTGATATTATCAATTTTGTTGGTGATTTATGTTCAATATGTAAATTGAGAGATAACAACCAGTTAGAAACATTTTCAGGCCATTTCTGAACAAGTTCTGAAGCAAGAGACAAGACATCTTCAGACTCACAAGTACTTAATAATTTTATCTGAAAGCAAAATAAAGTTTGAGAAATATTAACACTAACTTTTTTTTTATTGCTTTGAATTCTATTTATTTTATAGTATGCTTCATACAATAATCACAGATCATATACTGTATTTTATTAACTAATATATAAAATTAAAAAAATAGTATAATAAATTTAATTCCAAAATTTGGAAACATATTCCCATATCTAATTTTTTTGAATGAGTTACAAAAGACTGTAAATAAAATGTTTGTTTCATATAAAACAAGAAAATACATTAAAAATTAATAAAATTATTTCTACATACCCTTTCCATAAACAGTTCTTCAATTAAGCAATTTTCTTTGTTTGCAGTTCCCATTATATTCAATGTATGTAATATTAACTGCAAATAATGTTAAATTTATTCTTTATAACAAGCATATTTTCTGATAAAATTGCCAACAAGAAGACTATGTTGTATGTATGGGCAAAAAAGCCATACATACAACATACACTTTTGCCAAATTAGATCTTTATTACTTCTTTTAAAACTGCTTCTCATTGAATGTAACAACATAAAGAATATGAAATAGTTATATATATATAATTATGAAATAGCACCGTAAACAGCAATATTTTATGCACAAATAAAATGCTTTCAGTTTATTTGATGGACCATCATCAGGATTTGGAACAGTTTGAAATAAATACAAATATTTGAAAAAAATCAAATGCTTAAATATATTAAAATAACATCAATTATAACAATACAAATGTTTACTGCTTGCAGTTTTACAATAAATAAATGAAAATACGTAACTGAATGAATTATATTTGCATTCAAATGGTATTGATTTGCATGCTCTTGACTTATTAATTAATGTATATTTCCACGCACTTGCAAGAGACTCAGTGTCTTTTACATTTAAGCATTCAACCTCTAACTTCTGTTAAATATTTCCATTTTTTTTCTGTGTATTCGTGAAATGAAGAAGTGATATTCCTGATAATCTTTGCATGATCCCATATATTCAGTATCTTCTATGATGGCAAAACTGACTCTCATTGTATTCTTTCTTCTATTACATGCACTATATTTGTGTTCATATAGTTACTGAGCAAAATTCCTTCTAGTATAACCAATATAGGCTGTTTTCATTCAATGTAATGTTGTTTATCTTAGCTGGTATCCTGTATATTTGTCTTCTGTGCTTCCAAAATCCTGTTTTCTTCATTCCTTAAAATTATGTATAACATAGGATTACACTGCACCATAGCATTTCATTTCTTAACTAATTCCTTATATATCATTGCCAATGCATTAGAGAATCTGAACATCTTGCTGCTGTTGCAATATTGGCATTAACTATGGAGATAAAAGGTTTGAACTAGACTACAAATCAGTTTGCTCTTACATCAAAGTGGTGTAGCTACCTGGTTTAAGAGCAAATTGGGAATTCATTGGATAAACAGTGGTAAAAATAAAAATATTTAAGCAGAATCACATGCCAATGCTCGAAAATATGCATTAATTAACAAGTCAAGAACACAAACATCAATATAATTTTAATGCAAATATAATCTACTCATTTATGTATTTTTATTTATTTATTTAATTTATTTATTTTTATTGTAATACTGCAAGAGGTAAACATTTATGCAAATGTCATAATTGATATTGTTATTTTAATTTATTTAAATATTCTATTTTTTCAAATATTCATATTTATTCCAAACATTAACATTATCATTTCAAACTGTTCTACATCCTGAAAATGATCTATCAAATAGACTGAAAATGTTTGTTTGATTTGTGAATAAGCAGTGTTCATAACAAATTTCAATGAAATAGTTAAACCAATATATAAATTATATAAATATAAGCAGAATTTAGTGTAAATTTGAACATTTCTCAATATAAGTTAATTTTACATATTCTGATTAATGCAAAAACTTAAAAATACAAAATTAGAAATGCCTAATTTTATAAAATATGCTTCTTAATTATGATTAAATCGTGTCCTTAAAAAATAAAGTGTTATATTCTTAAACAAACATGATTGAAAACATTCTCCTTTCAACATTTATCATATTTGCCTGATAGTTGCATTAAAATTACATAATTTTAAGAAGAGACTTTCAATTAAAAATTTTCTTATTAAACAGATATTCATTAATAATTAATACTTCAATTTTTAGTAATTTTTGCTAATAAATGAGAAGCTATTGAAAATTTTAAGAAATTGAAAAATAACAAATTAAACTAAAAAATAAATTTGTTAGCATCTACATTCAAACTAAAAGTATTTAAGTAAAACCAAGACATTTAAGATATGTTTGAAAAGTAAGTCAGTAAATTTATAAAATTGTGTTTTCATAAAATTTTACAAACTATTTTAAAAAGTACTGAAATTATCCATCTTAATCAATGCATGTAAATGCAAAAATTACATTAAAATTTATTAACAACTTTAATTATTATAATATGTTATCACAAAAATGTAAACATATTACCTGAAAATAATTAAGTAAATTTGTTAACTATCGAAATAGATAATTTATGTAAATTTTTCTTCCTATAATCACGGACTAGTGATTCAACACATCCTTTTCCGCAATCTGTGTTAATCAGAGACAAAGACACTTAATCACCTTTTTTTTTTTACCTTTATTCAGCAATGTATTTTATATCAATAAAAATTCAATCCCTCTTCAGGCATACAAAAATTCAATGGCTTCTTTTGTTAAAAAAAAAAATAGATTAAAAGTGTTATGGTCTCTGATTAATATGGATTAAACTAAAGGAAAGAACAAATTAAATCAATTTTCTGTGATTATAAGGAAAATATTTACTAAAGAACATCCCATTTATTTCTATTTTCATTTGTACATTAAATAATATATTAAAAAATAATGCTTACCTCTTCTTTCAGATTTTCACTATATTTTAAAATTAGATTTAAACACATTTGAATATAAAGTGTCCACATTTTTTCTATAAACCAGATAAAATTAAAAAGAAAACATTAATTTCAATATAAATTTTTTAATCGGTATATTAAAAATAAATCTAAAATCTAGCAATTCAAATATAAATAAATATTTTCATTAATTTTATAAACTGTTCAATTTAAAATAAAGATATACTATATAAATATATTACAATACACTTATAGATAAGATACTATATATTTAAACTATCTCGATAAATAACTGTAATAAAGTAATTTTAATAATTAAATCTTTGTTGAAATATAATATTTGTCAAAACTTTATGCATGTATCCCCTTTGTACTGTATCTTTTGTATCCCTTGAAATTATCTCATTAAAATCAATGTATATTTTGTAAATGTGTATACATAACTAGGACATTACACAACTTTGTCATATCATGATAGAATTGAAGCAGAGCTGGAAAGAAAAAAGTGATCCCTACACCTGTTAGGCATAGAAGAGCAATCCTTGTATCTGACGGACACAAACAGGTGAACTTTGCAGTTGCTGTCACTAAAGAGACGATCCTTGTACAGGTAACCCCCGTATAACACGGCACTTCTATAGCACGGATTCACTCTAACACGGTTCGAGAATTGGTACCATCCCCTGTATAACACGGTACTTTTATAGCACGAATTTACTCTGACACGGTTCGAGAATTGGGTAAAACCCTCATACAACAGGAAATGTAATAAATTTTTACATACTTAAGTAATAATAGTTCACAAAAATTATTATTTTCGTGAACTATTAGTACTTAAGTATGTAAATTTTCTCTTCTCGCCTTCTGTCAATACACGTGGTCCTTCTCGAAACTTGTTTCAATGTTGCCAGATCGCGACGC